ACTGTTGAGATGAACAACTACATATCAATGTCTAGAACGCAAAGGCTTAGACAATGGCCTTACTATTGGCAAATTAAAGCCGGTGTTGAAGCTGGTATGACAAGGGAACAGACTAATGAGGCTGAATATCTACAGAAGAAGCGTGAGTTTCTAAAAGTTGAAGACGTTGAAACGCGGTTTAACGAGTATTTGAACTGTGATCAAGTGATGACAAAGAAGCGTAAACCAAACCCAAATTATATTGGATGTGGAAATCTCAGCGGTGTTAAACCACCGTACGCTGAGAAACCTGTTCAAGAGCACACTGAACTAGCTGCTGATGCCAGTGCTGTCCAGAAGCCATCAGAATGATTCAATGTCATAAGTATTACAACAGTTTTGTCTTTATATCATGACGCAACCTGTAGGCCATGAAGCACAACCCTAAAGAGATAAATATGAGTGGTAGGATCAAATATTTCAAGCCAGCAATCAAATCTGATATTGGAGTATCGTGATGTCTCTGCTTCTCTGCAAGCACCAAGTATTCTACTTTATTTGACAACTCCTTTATGGTTTGTTCATTTTCTCTGAGTTGATCGACGTTGTCATTGTTCAACTTCTCAATGATTGCAGTCAACTGTGTCAATGTTGTACGTAAACCTCTAACGTTTGTTGATAAAGATTCAAAATCAACAGACAGCTGTTTGAACTTCTTCTCCTGTGCATCCAAAGAGGAGAGCTCATTTGGACTTGCACCCTCAGCGAGTGCACGTATTTGAGACTTGAGGCTTGCCAATTGTTCAAGAATCTCAGCGTTTGAATTGCCACCATTATTTGGCTCAGTTTGTTGCTTATGCTGTTTTGCCTCTTGTTTTGCCTGCTGTTTTGTTTGCTTCGGCTGTTGCTTAGATTGTTTCTCTGGCTGTCCTTTCTCATCAACTTGGACAATCTTCTGCACTACTTTCGGTTGGAAAGCGGAGAATCCATCGTTCTCGAGAACTTCACTGACGACCCCATCATACGTCTTCAATCGCAACAGCTCGAATTGTTCGTGGATACCACCAGACTGGGCCATAACACCAACGAATCTACCCTTTGGCAGCTTCACCCTCTTGGTCTTTAAACATATTCTATTGTTCACCTGGACTACCAAGAAGCCATCGTAATAGGCGATTCTCAGGGTCGTTGGAACTTGTGAGTCCTGGTATGGCAGCAGACATGAACCAAACGACTCTTTGTATCTGTCTGCATCTTCAATCTTGGCGAGATCCTTAGTGCGTGTATCCAAGAAGCCATGAACAGAACTGCCCAATTCACTGTTTGAGTCTACAACCACTTTCAACCCATCGAATTCGTTCCACACAGTATCACGGATACCACCAGTGGAGTACTGCAGTGCAATTGCACCACCGTTCTTACCACGTGAGCCCACACTACGGAACACAGCCTCCACTGTCCATCTATCAGTGTTCAGCTTTGTTGGATTGTTCAAAGCTCCCCACGTCGATGCTTTCGGGGTCAGAATGATGCGCCCTTCTTCAAACTGAGCATCTCCGTCCATCTCCCATTCTTCCTCAGCGTTAGTACATCCGCTCTGTATATAATACCCGGTCATGGTACTCACTTGGAGGGTGTAACAGGTCTAACTTGGCCAGTTCAGGCAGTGAGAGATCTTCAATCTCCAGCTTGATGTCTTCCTCTGTGTGAGCCACAGCTGTTGATGCCAGCAGGGCAACCAGCGACCAACAGAAAGTGAACTTCATCCTATCAAACCAATGCTTGCTCTCTATCCTTGCTTGCTCTCTTCCACAGCCTCGTCTTGATAAAGAGGCTCCGATGTTGTCGGCTTTGTGTTTTTTTTTGTGTGGTGGGCGCGTGGGCGGCCGACCCCCACCACGTCAGTCTTGATCTAACAGGACCGCCAGCGAGGAAGCCCACGGAGGCGTGTGTAAGCCTGTGTTGATGCTACGTGTTTCCCTACGGTATGCCTACGGTATGGTGTGTCCACCAGCGTTCAATTGAGGAGATAGAACTATGGATTGTTGCATTCGACACATTCCGACGACTCGACTGGCTTACTTTGCTGTAGTAGTGCGCCACCAGTGCCGTCAACATGGCCCAGCTTCTCGTCTGGGAAGAGGACATCGCGTACCCTCTGCTTGAGGACTTTGGAGTCGGGGAACCCACCATCTCTCACTCTTTCCCAGATCAACACGGGCTCAGCATTCTCGTGTGCGACGGTGCTGATCTCGAAGCACCCGCTGGGGCCTGGGATCAGGGCAACCTCGCCCAGCTGCGAGCCAAACGTCTGTAGCAGCTCCTGTAGGTACCACGCTGCTCGGAGGTTCCACTTGCACTTGGTGCAGAAGGTGATGGTAACTCGTGGATACGGCATTGTGTGTGTGTGTGTGTGTGTGTGTGTTCTCTATGGCTCAGCGTGCAATTCCGATGAGCCCACCGTCGAACTGTGCCGGCTGGCTCTCCAGTGCTGTAAACAGAAAAAGTGCCTTGCCTTCCCTTTGGCGGTGGAAGGCCAGGCCGCGCACACAAATTCCGATATGAAATCGGTGTTTTGTCTCGCAAGAACATCAACATCAACATCAACATCAACAACCCACAGAGACGGCGGTAACCGTGGGAAAGGGCCATAGAACAACGAGCTGAGGATGCCGACGTTTGCCGATAGCTTCTGGACACGGGACTTCCACACTGGGATCTCCACGCTGTTTGCCAAACTGAACCAGGGATGTGTTGAGAATGAGGAGTTCATCTCGCTGTTTACAGCCAGGATGGAGGGGGAGCTGGACTACGGCGCCAGGTTGACGCTTGTTGAGAAGAACAACAAGCCATTGAAGACTGGGTTCGATCGTGATGACGGTGCGTCCCTGAAGAACGCGTTCAAGGGGATTGCCGAGCAGATGGTGAGGGAGGGTGAGACCCACTACACCATCGGCACCAACATTAGGCAGATGGTTGTTGATCCGTTCACCAAATGGAGCGAGGAGCACGCTCAGAGGGTCCACTACTCCGAGGCGATCCTGAACAACAGCTTGAAAGTGTACAATACGAAGTACAAAGTTGTTGAGAAGGTGTCGAAGAAGTACTTCAACAAGTGCCGTGTGTTTGAGACTTTGAAGCACGGTATGACGGAGGAGGAGGTTGTGGCACAGTTGAGCCTTGAAGAAGAAGAAGATGACGATAAGCCTGTCTCAATTGGTAAGAAGGATTACAAGACCAGTGAATTGAAACAACTTTTGGCAGATATGCTGCAAAAGATTCCCCAGACTCAGATTAAAGTGACACTGCTGGGAACGTATGATCACGTGTCGACCGGTTCGCAGATTGCTGAATACTTGCAAAAGACTTTGCAAGTTGCTAATCTGGATGAATGTGAAATGATCGGTAACGATTTGATACATCATGGGTATTTGAGAAAAGTCAACACCTCTGTGGGGTCTACTATTGGTCAAGCAAATACATTTGTCAATTCTGGTTCCTTCCATTACCAGTGGAAAGAGCTGGCATATCATTTGGCGAATTTGCCAATTGATTCCAATGGCACAGATCCGGTGTATCCATCAAAGATGACAAATTATATCGATGATTTGAAGTCTACCTTTGAAGAACCGTCATTGACTAAATTGAACAAAGACATAAAAGAACTGGATCAAGTTTACCGCATTGAAGTTCAAAAATTGGATAAAATACGCTGTGACCTGGAAGAACTGATGATTGACCATCTTACATTCATGGAGAAGTGTGAACTGGATAGACTGCGTGCTCTGAAAAAAGTGATTTTGGATTTCACCGCATGTATATCGAACAATATAACACAGATCAAATCATCGATAGATCAGATATTGGTCTATGAAGAGTCCATTTCACCAACAAACGACTTGTTATTCCTTTTACAGAATTATCGAACCGGTCCATTTGAACCAAGAGTTATCATGTATGAGAACTATTACGATTCTCCAAAACAACAGATCTTTGGTGTAAGCCTTGAGACCCGTTGTAAGAATGATACCAAAAACGTACCAATCATTGTCTCTTCTATCCTGTCGTATATGGATACTGTCTATCCAAATCTGCCAGACGATGACGTTCGTACAAAGATCTGGCTTATACCGGTGAGGTTACAATCCACTCATGCCTTAAGATCACAAATCGAACAAGTCCATAGTGATGGGCTTACGCCTGAGTTTTGGTCAAATCACCCACCAGAGGTTATTGCAAGTGTCTTGAAACTGTACTTGTTGGAGTTACCAGACTCTTTGGTTTCAAGCTCTGTCTATGACGTTATTAAACTGATCTATCAACAGTACCCCAACGATGAGGACCAGAGAATCCTGGGGGTTTCAAACGTGCTGAAAGATTTGGACAAATCACAACTGGCAACGGTAAACGTTATCTGTACCCATTTCCAGAGGTTGATATCAATCCTTAGGGAAAACACTCAACAACCTGACACGACCTTGGCTGAAAACTTTGAAGATGGAATATCACAGGAGTTTTCCTCTTGTATCTTAAGACCTAAACAGAATACCAATGTTACTATGGGTGATAGACATCCATTCAGACTGGTTCATGATCTGTTGACTCATAAAAAGGAAGTTATGAGATTAGTGAAAAGGTCTGCGAGTGTTAAATCATCATCTGCGCCGATGTCAAGTTCGTCAAGTGAGTTTTCTACCGGTAGTGGTAGTAATTCTGGGGTAAAGAGAAAGGACTCAACCTTGCAATACAGATTGAAACAAGCAGTTGAGGCACAAGCATCTCATGAGTCTTCAAGAACACCATCTGCAAGTCAAATACCACAAATCGATACAATTCAGGAATGAAAAGGAGGTCAATAACATGTTCATACATATATATATATATTATACTGAATATTTATACAACATTCTTATTCTTCAACTGTTTGAATACTGTGTAGTCGCCATCGTCATCTTCGTCATCATCTTCGAACTTACCAGCGTCCTTGATGATCTTTTCACCCTTCTTATTTACGTAGACGATCTTGTCCAAAGGTTTCAAAGGTCTCTTGATCTGAAACTCCTTGGATGATGATGAGGACGATATAAAAGGGTTATGTAACTCAGCTCTTTTGATGAATACCTCACCGTCATCATCTCCCGCACCGTTTGGAATTTCTTCACACCATGATCTCTTCAGCTCATCAGTGATGACCTTAGCACTTGGTGTCTTTGGAATGATAAAGCCACCCACGTCATCCACATCGTCCAATTCGTCCAGTTTGGAGGTTGGCTCTTCAAAGTTCAGTCTCTTCTTGAACTTGTACTCGGGACTGGCCAGATGACCCAGCTTCAGATCCTTTATACGCCCACTGCCTATAGAACTCGGTGTCGGTGGGAACAGCGCCCTCGTTGAGATATGGCACTGCTGATTTTGCAATTGGAATCCGTCCCCGAGTGCATGTTTCTTGCGGTGTCTTGGAGTCTTTGCCGGCGTATACAGCTGACGCAACGGTGATTTGGCCGACGACGTTATCCTCTGTGATCTACCGTCCTTCTGGTTACTCTGACTCCGTACCGGTGGTGACAGATCGGTCATAAACCCTGGTGGTGGTGTGTGTGGTGTAAGCAGTGGGGCTCTTGCATGTTGAACTTCCCGCGGTGGTGTCACTGGAGGCATCTTCTATGAGTCAATTGGCACGTAACTAGGGATACAGATCACAACTTTAGCTATAGTAACGGGGAAATATGTGCTAGATCAACTGTTTTAAGGAGAAGATAAAAGATGATTTGAGCGAGTTGGAGAGAAAAGTGAAAAATGGCTGGCTTCTACGTAATTTTTTTGCACTTTTTGCGCTTTGTGTCTCATGCGCGCAATTACATTTCCTAATTGGGTAAGTGCAAGTGTTGACTTCCTGATCTGGTAAGATAAGATTGCAAGCGTCTATATAAGGATGTTGTTAGGACCTTTGGGCTTCTCGGGGTGTTGCTATTATAGGGGCAGTTAATATCAGTGTTACTGTAATTAACGAATTGACTTGATTGCAAAGGGGAGAAAGCATGTTTTCCAATAATTCTAGTTGAAGATTTCTCGAATGAGATATAATATTACCCAGTTATATGTATTTGAAAGCAGATATGAAAGACAGCCCACACCAAAATTCCATTTCGGGCGTCTTAAAGCGTGCAAGAATACCATAATTATCAGGCTCCCTAGCACTAGAACATATACACACTCTCCATGGCTGAAATACCTCAATTGCGAGTATAAACACCCACGTACTTCACCAATATATGTATAATAATCAGACAGCTCATGTAGAACATCCAGACACCACCGACCATCTTACACTAGCTCGGCTCAACGAACATGGCCCAATCGCACAACGAATATGGCCCAATGGCACGGCAAAGGGTGTAACGTAACCATGTCGCCAACACCACACGACAATATCTGGCCATTCCACGGATATCAACACCACTACAACTCCCACACCAATTGATCAAGTGCCGATATCTGCGACTGTAATTGTTTCCTCCCATAACATCCTTACACCAAGAAAACGTAGCCTAGGTGGTCATCGCTTTAAAGGGGGGCGCAAGGGAGTTATCCAATTAGTTTCAAGTTAGGGTCTATTGCCTCCTTTCACAGGATTTCTCATCAATTGTCCGTCAAATCCAATAGATAACCAAGTATGAATATCGTGAAACTACAAGTAAGTGCCTTGATCCATTTCGTTCGCTGGTGAGGGGTCGATTAGTTGTTCGTTGTGCTGTTGAAGCCCGTACACTGCCCATAACCCCTTTTCACCACCCTGGTCCATGGAACCTCACTAACCATGCTGCCTCCCTTGCCAACAGAGAAAGTTCCCAATCCTCAACCAGGAGGACCTGTTTGGTCTCATTGAGCAATTCAGAGGACTCGACACTGAGGATAAAGGTTACGTTGAAAAGCAGGACGTTATTGAACAGCTGTCCAACTCTGGTGAAAGCTCATATGATGATGTCCGTCAAACTTTGAAACAAGTGTCTGTTGACTCCTCAGGCCGTGTTGAATTGGATGACTACGTTGAATTGGTTGCAAAGATTAGAGAGAACAAGAGTGCACCACAGAGCACCACAACTTCTTCCCCTTCAAAGATTCAACACAAGGGTACAGGTGCCAAGGCTTCAATTATCGTTGGTGGATCGCAATCAGGTACGACACACACCATCAACGAAGAAGAGAAGACCGAGTTCACAAAGCACATCAACAGCGTCCTCGCAGGTGATCCAGACGTTGGTGATAGAATCCCAATTCCAACTGATACTTTCCAGATTTTTGACGAGTGTAAAGATGGTTTGATTCTATCCAAGTTGATCAACGATTCCGTCCCTGATACTATTGATACAAGAGTCTTGAACTTCCCAAAGAAGGGTAAATCTTTGAATAATTTCACCATCTCTGAAAACGCCAACATCGTCATCAACTCTGCCAAGGCCATTGGTTGTGTTGTTGTCAACGTCCATTCAGAAGACTTCATCGAAGGTAAAGAACACTTGATCTTGGGTTTAATCTGGCAGATCATTAGAAAGGGTTTGTTGAATAAGATTGATATCAAATTGCACCCAGAGTTGTACCGTTTGTTGGAGGATGATGAAACTTTGGAACAATTCTTGAGATTGCCACCAGAGCAGATCTTGTTGCGTTGGTTCAATTATCACTTAAAGGCTGCTGGCTGGGAAAGAAGAGTCACCAATTTCTCCAAGGATGTCTCTGATGGTGAGAACTACACAGTGTTGCTCAACCAGTTGGATCCACAATTGTGTTCTTTGGCTCCTTTGCAAACACAGGATTTGTTAACAAGGGCTGAACAAGTTCTTCAGAACGCTGAGAAGCTTGAATGTAGAAAATATTTAACACCATCTGCATTGGTTAAAGGAAATCCAAAGTTGAACTTGGCCTTTGTTGCACACTTGTTCAATACTCACCCAGGTTTGGATCCGATTGAGGAGAATGAAGCTCCAGAGATTGAAGAATTTGATGCTGAAGGTGAAAGAGAAGCTAGAGTGTTCACTCTTTGGTTGAACTCATTGGATGTCGATCCGCCAGTGGTTTCTCTGTTTGAGGATTTGAAAGATGGTACCATTCTTCTTCAAGCCTTTGAGAAAGTCATGCCTGGTTCGGTTAACCAAAGGCAAATCAACAAGAGACCAACAAGTGGTAATGAGATCTCAAGATTCAAAGCTTTGGAGAACACAAACTATGCTGTTGAAACAGGTAAGGCAAACCACTTCTCACTTGTCGGTATTGAAGGTTCAGATATCACCGATGGTAACAAACTATTGACACTTGGTTTGGTTTGGCAATTGATGAGACGTAACATTGTGTTGACTCTTAAGTCCCTTTCAAGCACTGGACGTGATTTGACAGATGCCGACATCCTGAAATGGGCAAAGGAGAAGATCTCCAAAGGTGGTAAGACAACCACCGTTAGATCCTTTTCTGACTCTTCAATCTCCACTGCACACTTCCTCTTGGATATCTTGAATGGTATGAAACCAGGGTATGTGGATTACAACTTGGTTCACCCAGGCTCTACAGAAGAGGAGAGATACGCAAACGCAAGATTGGCCATTTCCATTGCAAGAAAGATGGGCGCATTGATCTGGCTTGTTCCAGAGGATATCAACGAGGTTCGTTCAAGATTGATCTTCTCCTTTGTTGGTTCATTGATGGCTCTTGAACATTAACATGTTTTCTTCACGTGTATATGATGTGTTCATAGCCTATGCCCTGTATTATATAGATGTTTGTCATCCTTGTCTGTATAGCACTGTAGGTTTAGTATCGTTTGGGTATTACTGGGTCGTTGTACATCCAGTCGTTGTTTTCCATATCCATAACAATCTCTCGAAGATAAGCAAACTGTCTTGCTGTGGTATCTTCCTCATCAACACCTTTACACAGGGCTCTTGCTCTCTTGTGATCTCGTTCTTCCGCGAGGTCTTGGAAGTACGTGAGGTACTCCTGGTTTATCAGTGTATACTCCTGCTTCTTTCTCTCGTTCATATCTCTGAGGAATTCCACATCGGCAAACGCCCTTTCAAGTGGATGGACCTTAGACAACCTCACATTCTTGCGATCCTGAATCCTGAGCCTTTTGCAAGCCGTGATCTCTTCTCGTGAGTACCCCGGAACAGAGATCAATATATCGTCTTTGATAAGCTCTGAGCTCCTGGCAACGTTAGACAGATCGGGCTCATCATCCTCCGATCCTGAATCATCGTACCCGTCAAATATCTCCTCAAAGGTCTGCTCTGCCTGCGAGAACGCCTGTAGCCTCGATTCACGCATGGGATGTTGGGAGTTAAACAACAGATAGTCCTCTGGACTGGTTGACTTGTGTATCACGAACCGCGTATCGTCCATGGGTCTTTTGTACTTATCACTCTGCTTTCTAAGCGTCCTGGAGAGTAAGTTTGACGCTGCCGACTCGAACGAAGCGGGTTTCCTCGACGACACACCCTTAAAGAGCTGTCTCTTAACATCTTGTTCATTCTTCCGTGACATCTCTACCGCTCTATTTCGGCGCCCCTTGCCGCTGTGTTGTTGTTGTTGTTGTTGTTGTTGTTGTTGTTGTTGTTATTGTTGTTGATGTTTTTCCCGTTTTCCTTTGTTTTGATTTCGAAGGCGGGCGGGTTTGTGTCGAGCATCGCTTCACTACGAAACATATGAAAACACAGGCTCAACATGAATCATCATTGAGGTTCTAATTACGTTGTCTGGAGTTCGTGATCTGATCCTTTAGCTTGTCATCCCAGTCGGCTTTGAGGTCGTCCAAGTACTTCAGCAAATCCTCTGCACCGGTCTTGTCAACTTCTTGAATCTTGATATATTCATGTCCATCTCTTGTACAGGCGGAGCCATACTTGACGTCCTGCTTCTCGAAGGTTTGGCTGACGAGTTTGGCCACGTATACCGGTGCGTTAGCAGCAGTGTAGCCCGAGATGTTCATCCACGGCGAGCCCAACCATCTCACGAGGTAGAACATGAAGAGCATGCCGTAGTAGGTGAAGACGTTCAGGTACTGGAAGAATGACATGGACGTGAAGATACCGGGATGGATGAGATATTGCTTTATGCCTCTTTCACGCAACTTGTCATAGGTGGCAATGTGAAGGAGGTCGATTTCTCTTTTGGAGCCTTCGTACGAGGAATCTGTCTTCAGCAGTTGTAAGTCGTCAAATGACAAGTACTTTGGATCAGACATGATACTCGAGATCCAAATGATTCTTCCTTTGGCGTTCTCTAACAGGGGCAATAGCTTCTGGGTTAGATAGTAGGGACCAAACACATTGCACTGGAACACAAGCCCCATTCCATCCTGAGACTTGACTCCAACTCTTTGGATCTTATAGTGAGGATCAGTGGCACCTTTGATTGGATTTGCACATATTTCCTTCACCGCACCAATCCAATCGATACCATCGTAGACACCTTGGGCACTGCAGGCAAAGAAGTAGTCCAGTTTTTGATATTTCTTATTCATCTCATAGTATGCGTTCAGGATGGAAACCATATCGGTGAAATCAACGAGGAGATAGTCATAATCAACAATCCCTGACCGATCCAGCTTGTCAACGTAAGCCTTGATGTTGTCAATGACCTCACGAACCCTGGGAAGTGTACGAGAAGTTACAATTATTGTAATTCTAGTGTCATCCTCTTCAGCTTCAATCAACCGGTACACAATGTTCATACCGAGGTTACTAAAAGGGTGTTAGATTCTAGACGGGTGTGTTGGAGATAAACAAGATACGATACCATACATACCAGTTGGTGCCGGTGACAAGGGCAACTTTCCATTGTGGTGCCGACATCTCTGTGAACTACTGAAGCCAGCTGTTTATTGGAGCCTGTGAACAGAGCATGGTTCTCTTCAATGGATGGTGTTTCCTCTCGTATAAGCGAAACGAGCGCTATGGCACCGTTGTCGTGGAAACCACTGGTTGGGACAGTACAGCAGGGAAACATCCAGACATCAAGACGGGGATTCTCGGTTGCCCTGGCGGTTGGGTTTTCGAGCATCAAGCTTTGTTTACTTTTCGAAAAATGTAAACATCAGGGTAAACAACAGCGTAAACAGCCCTGTAGATCAAGCATTTTAAGGCCAAGTTTCCCGTTACGAAAGATGAATCCATTACAAGAAGTCTCGAACAACAAGATGCTTCAAATCCCCAAGCTTGACTTTCGAGAGAGATCACCACCAAAGACCTTGGGGTCACCTACGAGACTATTACATTCAGCATCAAGGGTTTCCCCCTTCAAGGGAAGCAAAGCACATATGACAGATAAGGAGATCTTTGCCACCTCACCAAAGAGACTGGGTTCCAGCTCGGTGAAGAGGAATCAAGTGACCTTGAGTGAGATGAGAACCACATTGGCACCGAGTGTTTCAATGAGGAAGCAATTCGAGCAAACACCCTCAAGAATGATCTCTGGGAGAAGAAATGGCATTCATTCAGAACAGCCGGCGTCCAGAATCCAAAGACCAACTATGAGCTCGCTAAAACGTATGGTAAATCCATCATCAGTGCCGTTGTCTGGGAATGCAAACCTTTCAAAGGAAAATCTTGCTACACCAAAAGAAGAAGATGAAAGCGTAGACAGTACAGATATGAGAACGCTTATCAACACGAAGAGAAATGCTGAAAGTGCAAGATCTGTTTTGAAATACTTGAAATCAGAAGAACAGTCACCAAAGAGGAAGAAACAGAGACTGGTCAATTTTGACTCAAAGATACATCTTGTTGATGAAGCTCCTGACTCTACAATATCGTCGCAGAATCAGACGATTGAACTCTTACAAAAGATCTTGGAAAATCAAAAACTCATACTAGAGAGACTTTCTGCATTGGAGAATAAGTGACTATGTTACACTTCTAATATCCTTTGCTTTATGATATCTATAGCTGCCAAGGAGTCCTCCTCAGAACTGTGTTCTCCAGTTTGGATTATTCGGTTCAGGAATCTGAATGCAAGTTCCTTCAAGGCGTACTTCTTCGACATGCCCTTAGGATACAAGATAGCAGTATCAACAATGTTGTGGTGCACCAGCCTCATAGTGTTCAGGTCGTTCTCCAATCCGTGTCCGACGATGATTGTATTTGAATCGATAATGGTATTCATTACCAAGTCCATTGTTTCGTTTAAATCCATTGCATCCTCCGGGATGGAACTGACACCACTCCAGTTTGTATTTAAGTCTAATATCTGTCCAAATGGTTTGGTGATCTCATCGAATATGACACTTCTCGTGTAGAAGTCCATGATTGTCAATCTAATCATCTCCATACCCTTTGAAGTATAGCCCATTTCACAGTCCAATCCGACAATCCTTTGCCTATCAACTGATGCTGGCTGACATTCTCTAAACGGTATTAACTGCTGCATCTCATCAGCGGTTTTTGCCTTGAACACATGATGATCACTATGTTTACAGCCTTGTGATTGTCCCACAACCTCAGAACAGCATTCCCAATATCTATCGTTATTTTCTATTCTTTTCTTTCTCTCGTGGAATGTGCAATTGATAACGTCCGTGATCCTTGAGAATTCAAACTCTTCCCCACATCTATCACACTTTTTCCATTGTGACTGAGCAGTCGACTCATCTGTGAGTATTGGTACCTCTGTAACATAACCTTCTCTTTCCAGTTTCTCCTTCGAATGAACCAAGGACTTCACTGCTTTGTAGATCTCGTCATCTGACATCTGTTTGAAAACTCTTTGGGGTCTTTCTTCCATTGATGATTCACCTCTTTGTACTCTTCTGATCAAAGACTTCATGGAATTGTTATATGTTGCTGGTGTTTTATCCTTTGCAATGTTGAACTCATCGCTGACTGCCTGTCTCTTCGGTGTCTTATGGTTGAGCTTTTGGTATATCTGTACAAGCATAGTGACATATTTCATTCTCTGTTGTAGGGTGGCAGGCGCACCTACACCGGGTAGACCTTTGGGAACTGCATTCACGAGATCCTTGGTCTCATCATGTCCTTCTAAAACGGCATTCAAGACCTGAGAATGGGTTGTCGGAGAAACATTACGCTCTGAAGACCCAGAATTTGCAGATCCAATGGCTGGTAGCTTCTCAGAGGAGGTCTTTGGTCTCTTTACAAGTTCCTCTTGTGCCCCATCTGATGTCCCACACGTTGCGATGGGCCTCTTCAACGAGTGGTTGAAGATGCAAAACGGAAGCTTACAACTGCCTGATCGAGGACATGGTCTTTTGGCAAAATATGTTGACGATGACTTGAACATCCTACTCAACATCAGCATGAGAGCAATCAATAACGAGTAGAGTGTGTTCTATACAACTAACGGTAAAACACGAAGTTGTGCAATGGCCGATGAAGGGCTCCACTTCCCGCTACTAACACCCAGACACCACACTCTACTTTATACGCGCTACTTCCATCAACACATTTGTAGTATATTTCATACGGTGTGTACATCTATTTCATTCAATCATTGGAGCTTGCTCAATGCTTCGGAGGTTGTCACCAAGTCAGCATAACCAAATGCCAAAGTCGCAAAGATTGCTGTATTAACCTGGTCGTACGTAACGGTTTTACCATCGTACTCCCAGTCCTTGGTTGTCACGGCATCTGTTAACAGTTCAACTTTATAGCCAAGCTCACTGGCAGCTCTGACGGTGCCTTGAACACAGATGTTCGTCATAGCACCTGAAACATATAGTTCCTTGATACCGTTAGTGGTCAACAACTCCTGCAATGGAGTGCCGATGAACGAGTTTGGCTGGTGCTTTGTAATCACCGTCTCACCAGCCAATGGCTTGACAACGTCGTGGATCTGCGAGCCTTCAGTGCCCTCCTCAAAGAACGGCGCAGGCTCGGAAGGTGCAAAGACATGGCGGACATGGATTACGAAGAACTCCTCAGGCTTGGTTCTTGCAAATTGCAAGAACTTTGCGGCATTGGAGGAGGCCTGCTCGATGTTCTTCAGCTCGAACTTCCCTCCAGGGAAGTAGTCGTTCTGTAAATCGATGATGATGTAAGCCTTTGTAGGAGCCATAATTCCAGTGATTGATCAAACTACACTACAACGGGAAAACAACGAGCAAAAATCCTGGGGGCCTTGTTTAACCCCTTATATATGCCAATATACATAACTTTAGTCTCCGCTAGCTAGTCACCCAAATTAGTAAGCCAATCGACCGAAGTGAGCAGTTTAAACCGGTAGCCGAGTAAAGCAGTCATCTCTCTTCAAGAGTCTGGAGCGTGTTACCCGGACTGGTTAGGGAGCGCAGAGCAACCGCCAATCCCATTACATAATCAACACACCCAGACACCTAATAACCCGGACACCACACAGAGGCGATGAACAAAGTGAAAATTGGCCATCGACAACCGTCAACAAACAAACAGTCAAACCAAACAAGGCGACAGAGTCGGTGTATCATTCAAGCGAGCTGGACGAGAATGGTGAGTACTTTGGTGTTGATTGGAGTGCTGAGATGTACTAACGAGTGAGGAATCAAAATACAGAGCGTTAACATCTATGGAGATCAAGTAACCGAGGAGCGTGCTGAGAATGCCCGTCTCTCTTCGTTTGTTGGTGCGATTGCCGTTGGTGATTTGGTGAAGTCAACGCTGGGTCCGAAGGGTATGGACAAGCTGCTACAATCTGCCTCTACTAGCGAGTCCATCGTCACAAACGACGGTGCAACGATCTTGAAATCGATTCCGCTGGATAACCCTGCTGCCAAGGTTCTTGTGAATATCTCAAAGGTTCAAGACGACGAAGTTGGTGATGGTACAACTTCCGTCACTGTTTTGTCTGCTGAGCTGCTCAGGGAGGCTGAGAAGCTGGTTGATCAAAGAATTCATCCACAGACCATTATTGAAGGTTATAGATTGGCATCCCAAGCTGCTCTGACAGCTTTGGAGAAAGCTGCCGTGGATCACTCAAACGATTCGCAACAGTTTTATGAAGATTTGATCAGTATCGCAAAGACTACCTTGTCCTCGAAGATTCTATCCCAGGACAAGGATCAATTCTCCAAATTGGCAGTTGATGCAATTCTTCGTCTTAAGGGATCCACCAACTTGGAGCACATTCAGATAATAAAGAAGATTGGTGGTAAATTGTCAGATTCATTCTTGGATGAGGGCTTCATTCTAAACAAGAGATTCGGAAACTCACAACCGAAGAGGGTGGAAAATGCAAAGATTTTGATTGCAAACACATCTTTGGATACAGACAAAGTAAAGATCTTTGGTGCGAAGTTCAAAGTCGATTCCACGTCTAAATTGGCAGAGTTGGAAAAGGCTGAAAGGGAAAAGATGAAAGCCAAGGTTAACAAAATCTCAAAGTTTGGTATCAACTGTTTTATTAATAGACAGCTGATTTATGATTACCCAGAACAATTGTTTACAGATGCTGGTATTAACTCTATTGAGCATGCTGATTTCGAAGGTGTTGAAAGATTGGCACTCGTCACCGGAGGTGAAGTGGCCTCTACTTTTGATAACCCTGAATTGGTCAAATTGGGAACCTGCAAGTCTATCGAAGAAATCATCATTGGTGAAGATGTCATGATCAAATTCTCCGGTTGTGCTGCTGGTGAAGCTTGCACCATTGTATTGAGAGGTGCTACAGAGCAGGTCCTGGATGAAGCTGAACGTTCGTTACACGATGCTCTTTCCGTCCTGTCTCAAACTACAAAGGAGACGAGAACTGTACTCGGTGCGGGTTGTTCAGAGATGGTTATGTCAAAGGCTGTGGACACTGTCGCACAAAACGTTGAAGGTAAGAAGGCATTGGCCGTTGAAGCCTTTGCAAGAGCACTGAGACAACTCCCAACTATCCTTGCTGATAATGCTGGTTTCGATTCTAGTGATTTGGTCACTAAGCTGAGATCTGCTATCTATAATGGAATGACTACATCTGGTTTGGATTTGAACAATGGTGTTATTACAGATGTTAGGGAACTGGGAATTGTCGAATCGTACAAGCTTAAGAGAGCTGTTGTGAGTTCTGCTTCAGAAGCTGCTGAGGTATTGCTGAGAGTGGATAACATCATTCGTGCTAAACCAAGAACTGCTAACAGAGCGCATTAGGGTCATTTAATACACTGGTAATTATAAAGACAAAAAGCGATCATAAAAAATGCATTAGGGAGTAGTTCTATAAAAGAGTGTCTCATAAAAGGATGTAGCGAGTAGTTCACGGGTTAATGCTTTTACCAGCATCATGAAGTGCACTTCTTAACACTTCTGGTAATATCGGTTTGGATATGAAGTTGGACATTCCACAAGACAAACAACGATCTCTATCTTCTCTTTCAACATTTGCAGTAAGTGCAATAATAATGGGCATAAGACCATTAGATCCATACAACTCTTTGAGTTCTCTTGAGGTCTGAATACCATCCTTCAATGGCATCTGGATGTCCATAAGAATCACATCGTAATTGGAGCCCGTTTTTTCGATCATGGCAGCACATCTCTCAAGAGCTTGAACACCATGAATTGCAGAATCTGCAGTGTAACCGAGCTTTTTCAAGTGTTGGAGTGCAACTTTGGTGTTGATCATATTATCCTCAACAAGTAGAATATTTAATGGCATGACATCAGCAAGTGGGATATTCTTTACAGCCACTGGTTGCTCATTGTTAATTTTCTTTTCAGTATTGGCAGCGTCGAATATAACAGTGAGCTTAGATTCCAAGAATGGCAAGAGTAATATTGGATGATCCTTGTCTAAAGAACCGAACTTGGTACCGTAGTTCCCCATAATAACCAGTCTCTGTGGTTTTACTGATTTGAGGTCAATCAGGTCAAGGAAGTCTGTCTTGATAAAGATCAGATAATATTTGTCCAAGGAAGCAAGATCTGCTGAATCAGTTGAAACGGTTACATCACTTTTGTAAGAGTTCTCAAGATGTTCCTTCAAAGACTCTATGCTGTATGACTGTCTATCAACAATTAGAATCTTCTGGCCTATAGTTTTCAACTCTTTCCTCTTGGACTCAGCGACAGAGAAGGTCAATCTTACAAAGAAAGTTGTACCAGAGCCTTCTTCACTTTCAAAGGTGATTTCACCACCCATCAATTCCACTAGTTTCTTTGAAATGGCCAATCCAAGACCTGAGCCACCATACACTCTTCTGGAAGACCCGTCAACCTGGCTGAAGGCACCAAAGACCTTTGAATGTGAATTTTCTGGGATACCAATACCGGAGTCTTTGATACTTATGACAAATTCATATAAGCCTTCCTTAGTGAGCTTGTTTGCAGTGCTGCGTATAACGATAGATCCGGATAAAGTAAACTTGACAGCGTTACCTAAGAGGTTAATGATGATTTGTTTGAGTCTGGTGACATCTCCCTTAATCGTATCAGCTTCTTCGCACTTGTTAAAATATGCAAGCTCAAGATTCTTCGCAGATGCCTGCTCTGCAATAAGTTGCATTGAGCTCTCGATACATTCATTCAAAGAGAAGTATTCATTATCCAATGTAATAGCCCCATGTTCAATCTTGGAAAAAGTCAGAATGGCATCAATAATATTCAAAGTAACCTTTGAAGATGAGACAATTGTATCAACATATTCCTTCTGGAGAGAATTCAGCGGTGTATCAAGCAAGAAACCTGCACATGCAAACAGAGAGTTGAATGGAGTTCTAATCTCGTGAGACATGTTTGCCAAAAAGGCTGCCTTTTCTTCGGTTGCTTCTTCAGCTGCTTTCTTTGCTAGCATGGTCCTGTAATAAAGCCTCGACTTGTCTAGAGCAAAAGCTGCCTGCGTACACAGCATCTCTGCAACGACAACCTTATCATTCGTGAAGAGTTTGGGAATACTGACATTCTCTAGGTATAGAGCACCAAGTACTTCAACTTCGTTCTTGATAGGAAGACAGATCAAAGATTGAGGAGCAGTTTTACTGAAATATATATCAGTTTTCATGACATTTTTAAGATTCGGTTTCATCTGTTCGTAGTTTTCCAACGTTGTTCCTGTTTCGATACATTCTTTCATCAGGTTTCTTGGTAAAACCAACCTCGATGACTCTTCTGCATCAATATGATTAAAAAAAGAAGATCCTCCAACAGCAGTGATGTCAATTCTTCCAGAGTCGTCATCTTTGAGTGCAACAACAGCATAATCAGCATGGAGGATTGAGAGATTCTCAGTGACGAGATTTTCAATAATTGAATCAGTATTCATGCTTTCTGAAATCGCCAAACTTGCCTCAATTGCACGCAAAGCATCAGAGTTACCAGTGACAGGACTTTGGACACCATCAGTCAAGTATTCTTCTTTCACAAGGACAGAAGAGAGAAGTTGGTTGATCGGGGACAAGCTGCCACTTTCGCTTTGACGAGTTGAGCTCTTTCGAGATTGAAGTTGAAAGTTTTCAAAACAGTCTGAGTAGCTTGATTTCAGAATAGCAGCCTGCATCTTATAACCAGCTTCCTGATACTGTCTAAAGGCTTGTTGAAAGTGATTTGCTGCTCTCTTTTTGGACTGAGGACCTTGATATAACCATTTGCCTATTCTCTCATTAATCCGAGCCGTTTCAACTATAGATCCAGCTGAAACAGCAGAGGATGTTTCAGAGGAGTCAAGAGCATCTTGATATGCATCTAAAATCTCTAAATCTGACACACTTTCAAGCTTCAACATTTCAGCTTCATAAGTCTTATACTTTGGGGTAAAGATTTCAGGTGAAAAGACCTTTGCCTCTTTGAGAACATTCATAGTTTCCTCTAAAAGTTCTCTTTTCTGTAATACAGACAACTCCTTACCATCAAGTTTCTTGTATATGAACTTTGAAGCCTCACCAACTGTCCACATGTTAAAAGGAATCCAACCGGCCAGTTTATTCAGCTCATCGACGTAAAGCTTCTCGTTCCAAGTCTTTGGTTGTGACTTGTTCACGTAGCTCTTGTACATGAAGTAAAAACACTTGAAATGGAAACTTTGTTCATCGAGACAAAACGTTTCGTCATTATCCACATCAAACTTTTCATCATATGGCATATTCAGAATCAGTCTTAATAGGGCAACAATACTGTTATACCAGTAACGGTTGACGTCAATTTCAAGATCAAGCTTTCGAGTGGAATGAATCAGATTGTTATAAGCAATCTGAACGTTCTGTCCTTTTACTATAGAAAACCACGGCTCAAGTGCTGTTTTCATGATAAAGCCGATAGAGAAGCTCGAACGAAACTCAGTAAAGGCGTCGGAATAAAACTCATAGAACTTGACAAGATCCTTCAATGGCTCCAAATAACATCCTATTGAAAAGGCATAAATGAAGAATACCCTGTTGCAGAACTCAAATGAGACCCATTTAGTCTTGAGCAACTTCAATGCCAGTTGTGAAAGCTCCTTAGCAAATAGGAGAGAGTTTGTAATCTCATCCATGGCTATTAGAATAAGTCCTATAGAACTGAATCCGGAAAAGCCATGCTTAATGGAGTGTTCAATAAGATGATGAGCTGCTAGAAGAGAGAAGTAATAATCACCAAAGTGTACAGCCAAAAAAACCAACTCAGCTAGAATCTCTTGAAGAACTCTTGAGCGTTTACTCGTGTTTCCACTTGCCGTAAGCATCATATCGAATGCCTCGACAGTCTTCGGATTCTTCAGCTTCATATCTTTCAATTGGACTTGCACTGATTTAGGATCATTATCAAGATGGACGCCATGTTTCTCAAGGCAGTTGATGGCCAGTTTGAAGCCTTCACTTCTTCTTCCGACAACAGCCAAGGCTTGTATAGTCACAAGAACAATACGTGGATCATCAATACGGGTTAAGTTATGCGACTCTATGAAGTCAATTGCACCCTGGTGATCGGATGATGCAATCATACACTTCAATATCTCAAGATATATCGAAGGAAGACGTTCTTGATGCATTCCACGACCCTTTAAAATGAATTTTGACACGTAAAGGAATCTCAGGGCAGGATAGAAGTCATAGATCTTATAACTGAATTTCTGGGCCTTGGCCATAATGAGAAGATAAATTTCAGCTTCTTCATCATTGGAGATTTTCTCATAAGACTTTGCAAAGTGGCTGGCAATAACAAGACAGTAATGTTGATTAATTTCACCATCAACATTTCTGTATTTGTAGAATCTTAGTCCAATGGTTTTTTGATATTCCTGTGTTTGATCCTTTGTCATGTATACAGTGGTCATATATGTATACAACGAGTCGTGACGCAGCGTGAAGAGAGCCAATGAAGCAATATCATTAATATCAGCCTGGCAAAGACCACTGGGACGCTGGTCTTCTGTAAGATGGAATGGGAACTTGTAAAAGATATTCATCGGATAGATGAGTCGATATTCAACAGCCTTGGCTAAGAAGGCACCAACCTCTATAATACTCCGACCCGAAGCCACAGAGAGATCTAGAAGAGAGAAGGCGATGTTATCGTGAATACACACTGCGAACTTCAACATCTCAATTTCTTCTTCATCTAAGAAAAGCTCTAGTCTGCGAGCATACAAGTCGAAGAGTGTCGATGGTAGCTCTGCGAACTTGGCAAATTCAAGATCCCAATCAAATCCTTCCTTCTTGTAGTCAAATAGACCTTCGAATTTCGTTTCTTCAACAAGCAATGTAACCCTGAGAGCGTTATGGTCAACCTTTTCAAACATAGCGTGGGCCAGTCTAGTGATCTCCATTTTCGTATTGGAATCCTTGTTGGAACGCTCATGTAGAATGGGCTCAGTTCTAACTGCAAATATGTCCTCACAATACGTAAGGAAAGGTCCAAACCCAGTATCGACAATCTCGTATTCGATAAAATCACAGTTCAGCCTCTTTCTAAACTTCTCAAATGTTTCCTGATAAGTGGTGTCAAAAGTTGCAAATATGAGAATGGTCGATTTCCATGACTCCTTCAATATTTCTGTACGAATGTCATTCAAAAGCTCCAGGTCAGGCATGGAGAACCATTGGAAATCGTCAAAGAAAATGGTTAGTGGGAAAGACTGGCCAAGGGCTATGAACAAGCTCTTAAGCATATGCCTGTAGCGTAGTTCAGGTCTTGTTACAGCTGGACGACCATTCAGCTTCATGTGTTGTGCAAGCATCAACTCATAATTAGGACCCAAGATGTCCTTTAGTTCAGGAAGACTATCAAACAACGGAGTAAGATCTAATGAACCAACAACTTTAAGGATGGCATCACGAGCTTGGTGTATTTGCTTATCTGAACCAGAAAGAATTTGATGAATAACATTGTTCAGGATAAATATGAAGGAAGCAAATCCAGTGGTCAAGGTATTACATTTCCAATGAGCAAAATAATGGTTATTGGAAACAATCTTCGCTTGGACTTCACTGACGATTTTCGTCTTTCCCACACCTGTGATTCCTTTCACCAATACGAGATGAACACCCTCTTCTACTGAATCGTACAGTGATTCCAACTCTTGTAATTCTCTTTCACGACCGTATAGTGTCTTTGGTGAGGCTTCGAAGGTTGCATCATCTGCAATGAAACCTTTTGGTTCCAGACCGGGTTTCTCAGATCCAAGCTGTAAGACAGAGGTCAAATCCATAATGAGATGATCGCAGCTTTGATATCTCGCATAGGCATTCTTCTCCAATAACTTCATAATAATACTGCTCAAGAAAGGACTAAGACCAAATTCAGTTGGTGATCGTGGTTGAGATTTGATATGCTTATTGATCAGTTCACGGCTATCAGATGCGATGAAAGGAAGCGAACCACATAGTGTTTGATACAGGATCACACCAATGCTGTAAAAGTCTGCTCTAGTATCTGTGTATCTATTCACCTCACCACTCACTTCTGGCGCCATATAAGGTAGCCAGTCAATGACATATCTTTTGTTTAAAGTTCTGTAGCCCCTTGTCGTATCCTCTGTTGTGTATGAGAAGCAGAAATCCCAGCCTGTGATATAGACCTCATCGTTATCGTTGATGAGCAAATTCAAAGAGGTTAGTCCATTATGTGTGAATCTGTATGAATGAACGATTTTAAGTACCTTGAGGCACTTTATTATGCTTGTCAAGATCTTCTGCTCGTTTTTGACCATCCCCATCACAAATACTTCTTTGAAGGTCTTCAGGTTTAGAACGTCTTCATAGACAAGCGCAAAACCTCCGTAGTCATCAAGAGCAACCCAATCACATGGGTAGAGCACACCTTCGATGTCAGTGGGCAGCGTCCTTGGAGCCTTGGTACTATATGGCTCCGTGTTCAAGCCTGAAAGCGCATACCATTCGTTATAGAGCCTTGATATTGAACCAGCCGATACGTACGATACGTATTTGACGATGACACTTCTCTTGGTTGTCTTGTTGAACCCTCTGTACATATCACTAGATATACTCGACAGCAATTTGTAACCGGGCAGTGTGTCCTTCAATGAGTCAGACAGCACGCTGTTCTGGTCTGAAAAGTTGAAGGACTCATACCAGTCGCTGTTTATCCTCTTCACTCCATCAACCTTGCTCTTAGACTCCGCAGCAGTGGACAACAGGTAGTCAAAGAACCCTGTAGAGTTCGTCTCGCCTTCCGATGAGGTCGACTCTGCCACCACGGTTCCTGAGCTAGAGGGGTGCGCCAGTGGTGACATCATTGCTTGCTCGAAGAATATCTCCTCCAGCTCATCTTTCGGGATCCTCAGCTGCTCCAGCTTGTTACCAACTGTTTCGACGTTCATCGCCCCTTTGTGTGATAAGATGAGATACGGTTTAGCATTACTCGCAAACAAAAAAAATTCTCTCTTCTAGATAGCCCTTCTGTACACAGCACAGTCCCACATTCACCACTGCCGTATTCGCAATGGAAGTTGTCCCTGCCGAAAGAGCAATCTTGAGCTGATGAGGGAAAAGAAAAGGGGAAGAAGCACGCACACTCACGCAAGCACAAACCTTACTGTACAGCTGCATTGTATGTTCATCATGTACGATGCCACACAGGGCTTTGTTCTCGTAGCGGCGAAGGTCGAAGCGTCACCAGAACGATAAAGCCGATGGTGTCTGCGCCATGGTGTCATTCCTCAGCAGCACGCGCCAGTCATAGTTAATTGGCGGAGGGTGGCGATGGTGTAGCATTGTCCACGTGACGCCTCGACCTGCCGTGGTGCGGATGACGCACTAGTCAAGGACAGAAGATAGCGACGACAGTACGAGTTTCCGTATCAGCAACGCGCCATTTCACCCTTCACGCATGCGCTATAACATTCCATGCATAAAGTCCACAGGGAACCTTTGAGCCTGGGCCTTCCTTCTCACCTGGCCCTTGTGCGAGTTGTAGCAGAGCCTACGCTCGTGTATGCCCAATGGGGAAGAACAAAGCAGAGAAAGAGCAAACGAGAAGGCATCTAAAACTCAAACTTACAGCACAACAGGCCAATTGGCCGGCTCGACGGTGTAAGTGACCCATCACTACGTATTCCTTTGCTCATCACAAGCCATTCACCGACACCTCAAGGCCCGTTCCTGGCTGTGTCGAGCAGTGGAGCGAGAGAGAGGGCTACGGCCAGGCAACGCTTCACGGTGGGACGGGTTGCCCTAGAGAAAATACACACCCGGACACCACACAAGCGGAAAATTTTTCTCTCTCTCTCGCCGCCTCTGTACGCGCAAACGGTAAAATTCAAACTCTTCCTCTTTGGCACTTTTCACTTCCTTGGAGTTCTACACACTGTGAATTGGATTACGCTCTACAACAACCAGGGCTTCTTGGTTTTGACCAGATCATCACAGATGCACTCCTTACAGAGATAGGCCTGTTTCGCTTGCCATTGAAGGGCCGTATCCGATTTCGACCGAGAGAAACACAAAGTAAGCATTATTCGCCAAAGGAGGTGGAACTACTGGTGCAATGGTGAAAGTGGGATTATTCATATGATGACAACCTTTTTTGTTGCTTGAAGACTACGGTCAGTGTGGGCACAATGATTTCTCAAGACTACAACGGTATCTGATTTCCCTATTCTCAACCACAGCGCAAACGTTCACTGTCCAGCGCTTTGTCGCTTCAGCTCTTACTAACCATGTTACGATAGGTAGCGATGTCGAAGAGGACTTCACTCAACGCGAAGTACCCCCATGCCCTGCCAGTGCATCCAATAGCGCTGCCTGAGCTTATCCTTCACAACCCCATCTCGTGGATTTGGTTTACAATTTGTTATATCAAGTCCTTCCCTACCGTGTCGCGGACTGTTGTGCAGTTCAAGGATGGTTGCTTCGCAGTTGATTCTCCTGAAGAGATGATGACACTGTGGAACGAAGGATTCTTCGGAAAGGGTACGATGAGTAGATCAGAGCCGACCTGGTATGATCGTACGCAGAAGAGATTGGGTCTTGGTGAGTTTAAGAACCTCACCATTGAGGAAATCACCATCCTTAGAAGAGAGGAGAGAAAGAAGTTCAAAAGGGAAAGAGCACAACTCGAAAAGAAACAGAAGGAGCTGAAAAGTATGGGCATTGTAGATCCCTTCATCGAAGAGAGACTAAAGTTGAAGGAACTAAGGGATAAGGACATTACAATCCCCCTGGAACGTGAAACTTTTATAAGACCTGAGGACGATGTTCTGGTGGTCAAGGGCCATCTAATAAATATCGAACAGCTTCAACTTCAACCCTGTGAGGTGATGTTTCTCGAGTTTGCACTGCAGTCAGTGACTGTTGTAACTGATGGAGTTGCACTCTCTTCAAATCAGCTTCTTGAAGTGCTCTGGCCCACCAAGTCAGCTGACGACTCTTTCATAGTGAAATACGTCGTCTACCACTATTACAGAAGTCTTGGATGGTGTGTGCGTTCTGCCATAAAGTTTGGAACGGATTTTCTTCTTTACAATAGAGGTCCACCTTTCCATCACGCTGAGTTTGCACTTCATGTTGTGCCAAACTATAACGACACTCAAAAGAACACTGCTACAGCCCAAGACTTCACTATGTTATCTGGATTGAACAGAGTTATTGCTGGAGTGAGGAAAAACCTCGTGTTGGTATTTGTGGATATCCCAACTCAGGAAGAGATTGATAAAGCTGGTAGCTTCCAAGATATCTTGAGCTTGTACTCAATTTCAGAGGTTTTGCTTAGACGTTGGGTTCCTAATCGAAACAGAGATTAATATTTGTATTAATGATTACATGTAGCTATTCAAACCAAACCATTGTATGCCTTTATAACCCATCCACAATCCCTTTGGCCTTCTACACTAGCCTTTGGACCTTTGACTGGATCATCGTACAGTGCGTTCAAGGCTTTATCATGTGTAGCTGGCTTTGATATACAGACAAAATTCTCTGTATTTGGCAAAACACATTTCAACTGCGATTTCGGGAAGGGACATGGACAGTCCGCTGCTGTCTTGACACAAGCCTGAGTATCAGGACATAGATATCGCTCACACTTGTTGTTTAAGAACTCTTGTTCATAGTTCTTCGGCTGTTGTTGCTGCTGCTGTTGTCTGTGACCAAATGGATTGAAAAATTGGGCATTTACACCAAGTGCCAGAACACAGATAACACCGAAGTACTTCATTGAGAGAAACTTATCCAACGAGAGAAACGTTGAGTGATCGATATGAGTTACAACATTCCATACTGTTGGCTTTGCTGGCATGTTGACGATTCCGCGATGAGCATCATCAAATTCCGGGACTCACGTGATACATCATGTGATTATTCCGAGGGTACGCGATGGCGCTTCGTTCCATTTCATCTGACGCGTCATTGGCTGTGGTCTTTATTTTTTGTTACTTTACTGAGCAACTGAGTATTATTGTTGTCGTTTACACTGACACTGTGAGACTGCGACTGTGAGAGACTCCATCGGTGAAGATGTACATCTCACGAGGGAACTTTAGCAAAGTGTTTGATGACATCAAGAGGACCTCTATGAGTCATTCGACTTGTAAGCTTATAATATTTGTCGCTTGTCTCAACGTTGATGCTTTATGTGCCTCAAAGATCTTGACAAACGTGCTACGAAAGGAAATCATACAATATCAATTGATTCCGATTGTTGGATATTCTGACTTGAAGACTCATTATGATCGTCTCGATGGTGACATCACCAACATTGTGCTCTTGGGGTGTGGAGCTATGGTTGATTTGGAGAGCTTTTTCGATATAGATCCAAATGACTTTGTTGATAAAGACAACCAGAACCTGGACGGTACATTCACCTCCTCGAGAAGTATATATGTAATTGATGGTCACAAGCCATGGAACCTGGACAACATCTTTGGTTCCCATATCATCAAGTGTCTCGATGATGGATATATCGATAGAGAATTGGACCGAGAAAAAGAGGCCTATGCAACGTTGATAAAGTTACAAGAAGATGAAGAAGAGGAGGATAGCGATGATGGCGAGTTTGATTCAGAAGAATCCGAAAATGAAAATGATGTTGTGAACGGTCTTGAAGAAGACGAGGACGAGGAGCTAACAAGCTCTCAGGAGAAGAAAAGAAAAGCTATACAGGAGACAAAGCAGAGGAAACGCCAGATGAAGGAGCAGGAAAGACTTGTTGAGCAGTACTATGCAACGGGTATGACTATCACAGTATCTGTGTCATTACAGGTATACACGATGCTCTCAGAAATTGGTGAAACCAACACTGATAACCTGTGGTTCACAATAATCGGAACCATCTCTCTCGATAATCTGTATCCAGATGTTTACAGAATGTCATTCGAGGCACTAAAGGCTGAAGTTACGAGATTGAGTCCCACAGACTTGGGTCTTTCCAAGAATGCTGACTCGTCACAGCTATCAGTCGATACAGATTACTATCTATTCTTGTTACGGCATTGGACTCTCTATGACTCTTTTTTCTATTCAAACTACGTGAATGCCAAATTGAGCATATGGAGTGAAGAAGGTCGTAAAAGGCTACATAAGATGTTTGCAAGAATGGGTATCTCTTTACAGGACTCCAAACAGAATTGGTTATACATGGATACCAATATCAAAAAGAACCTCAACGTTACATTCAACAAAGTTCTCGGGTTCTTTGGACTAGACGATCTCATCAGAGAAGGATTCGTGAGAACATACGGGTTCAGGGGAACATTGTCTGCAAGCGAATGTGTTGAATCCATTTCAGCACTATTGGAGCACAATAAAGCATCAACTACAAATACAGACGACGAAGAAACTGACATTAATGAATTAATTTCTCTAAAGGAAAAAGCATGGATTGAAAACTTTTGGTCCAGTTGGGATGCATTGGATAATATTGATAAGATCAACAAGGGATTGGAATATGCTAAAGAATTCCAAAAGGCAGTTTTCAATACAGGAATGGCAGTATTGGAAAAGCGACTGTTGAAGACATTGAAGATCTACCATCTCGTTGTCCTCAGAGATGGACCTGATTATGAAATGTTTAGAAATCCATTAATCCTGATAAGATTGGGTAATTGGATCCTTGAGAGTTGTGCTGAATCTAACAAAACCCTTCTGCCATTGGTGCTTGCAGCGTTGGACGAAAGCACAGATACGTTTCTAGTGGTTGGATTGGCCCCACGTTATCCAAGAGGTCGAAAGAACCTGGAGGACATTGATCAAAATACGACACTTTTGAACACCTTTAGTGTGGCATTCCAACAAGTTGCGGGCACTACAGGAGCCAAGGTGAGGATCGACAGTTTTGAAAGTTCCATCATTGAGATTAGAAAGGAAGACTTCCAACCATTTCTGGAGAAGTTGGCACTTAGTGGATTGGTGTAATTGATGCATTGTTCACGGCGCAGATTGCATTTGAACTTGTAGTACTACAAAGAAAAGTGGTGTAACAGAATTTATAATCAATTGACAATTGTAAAAACCAGTTTACAATTCACCTTGCTTCTTTTGGCCAACGTAGAAGTTGTAAGCGTAAGCATCCTCACCACCTTCAACTTTGAAAGTGATGGTGACACCCTTTGGGAACTTCAAAAGATCACCAGCCTTTGGGTGAACGGTGTTACCCTCGCTGTCAGAGACGATGAAGTCACCTTCAACCTCAAGGACAATCTTCAACTCATCGTATGGGTAGGTGTAAACCAGCTCCTTACCTGGAACAACCTTGAAGAAACCACCAGTGATTGGGGTCTCACCAACTGTGATAACGTCACCGAGGAACGAGTTCTCAGAGATCTTTGGTGGGAGGACAGAGTAAGCATCAGCCTTTGCGACGTGGGTAAGAGCAACCATTGTTAATTGTTCGATGAGTTCGTGTTGATACAAACACAACTCAACCCATCTGTCACGAATTTGGAGCTCCTCTCTTGCTCTTTATATAGACCAACTTCAATGATAAATGGCTCATCATTGTTGAAAGAATTAGCTATTACAACCAGTGCGCACTATCTGGAGAGTGGCTGCATGTCTACTTCCTAATGCGGTAAAAAGATCCACGCTGCTGAATCTACCCGATTACGTTCCAAACTTCCCCAAACTGGAGACACAGCTTGAAGGGCCCACTGTGGCTGCCCTGGGGTTACTTCAGGGTTTGTTTTAGCGAAGCAACTGGTACTAATCACGGCTTCAATTGGATGTCTGGCTAGGAAAGCAGTGCTCTCGGGGTGGACGTGGGCCGTTGCCAGTCATTGGGGGATGAGGTGGACACACACACACACAATGATCTACTAACCCTGTCATACTGTATCAATTGACCCATACAAAAAGAGCTGATATGATAAGCTCTCTGTTATCATGAAGTTAGCGTTGTAGAACTTTAATCCCCCTAATTCAGGGAACAGAAGATACATCATCGAGACACATGACGCAGCCAAAAGCAAACTTATACGCTACATGTGGGCTTAGAGCCCAATAAAAGCGTACATTACGACGAAAACATACACACTCATTATTCCTCCCACGAGTACTTGTCCTTCCAGTGAGGGAATCCCAATCCCACGCCCCAGTCGTCCTGGATAAATCGCTTTGGATCTTTTAGACCAATCTCATCCAGCTTGCCAATGTCCTCCTCACTGAGCGAAGGGATCGTCTTCAATGTTGGGATTCTCTTAGGGTTGGAAGTTCTTGTAACGACGATCCTTCCGCGGAGTAAATGGTACGCATAAACCACATTGGCTGGCTGCGCGCTGTACTTTGTAGAGAGCTCCAGTACAACGGGCTCCTTCAACAACGGTGCGCCTGTTGAGCCCAATGGTGAGAACGCAGCCACTTTCACGCCCAACGATTCAGCGTACTTGACTAGTTCTAAGGAGGGGATCTTTGGGTGCAGTTCGAGCTGTAAAACCGATGGAACAACGCCAGTTTCATCAACGGCACGCTTGAGATGTGCCTGCGTGAAATTCGAGACGCCAACGCTCTTGACCAGACCTCTGGCCTTCAGCTCCAACAGCTGCTTATAGGTTGTGACGAAGTCGCCGTTCTCATCGAACTGTAGCACACCGTTGGAGTCTCTTGGGTTCTTAGGCAAGCCATTGGAGTCCGTGCCTTTGTAACAGACAGGCCAGTGCTGTAGCGCCAGATCCACATAGTCCAATCCTAGGTCTTGCAAGGACTTGTTTATGGAGAGTTCGGCCCTGTCCCACAGTGAAGGCCAAACCTTTGTAGTGATGAATAGATCTTCCCTTTTCACGGCACCTTTGGCAAACAGATCCTTGAGGAATTTACCAATGGTTGGTTCGCTCCCGTAATACCATGCGGTGTCGATGCTTCTGAACCCATTGTCGATGGCAGCTTGTAAGACACCTGGCAATTTCTCAAACTCTTCCTCGGTCCATGGGGTTCCAATCGTCAACGCTGGCATGACGGAGCCATCGTTGAGCTTAACTGTAAGCTTCACAGTATCAATTGACATCTCTAATCTATGCTTGGGGTGTAGAAATCTGAAACTTCAATGGAACAAGAGCAGTCGATAGGTGTTATATAGGTAATTTCAGCGGACGGTAGAAATACGGATTGCTACTACATATGTATAAGCAAGCGTCGATCTACAAATTGTGCATTTTGGGATTTTTCCACAATGTTCTTTAGTAAGAGCATAGTTACTATTGCTAAACGATGGACTGAGTCAGTGGTTGCAATAACCCTTGACGTATAGAACAATATAACGTCTGCTTCCAGATTAAGTGTGTAAATGGTAATTTATCGTCGTACCTGATTTATACCATATGCTTACACGACATGTTGAATTGACACTCAGGCTGCTTAGAACATGACGTCAACCAACATTAATAGAGCAGCACTGTCGCATTACTTGATGATTGGGAAATCTACAATCAAATCTCTAGAAATGCAAACAAAATGAATTTTCTATATACTTAACAAGAACATGATCAACAAGCCTTTTAAGCAGCATCAGCTGGACGCAAACCGGTGAAGAAGTTCTTAGCGTAAGAACCTTCTGGGCCAGTAACCTCAAAAGTGATGGTACAACCCTTTGGGAAGTACAAGACATCGTGTTGCTTGACCTCAACCTTCTTACCTTCCTCGTCAGTAACAAAGAAGTGGGCTGGCTCATCGGTTGGGGAGACAATCTCCAAACAGATCTTCATCTCATCGTAATCGTAATGATAGGTCAATGGGTTGCCAGCGTTGGAGAACTCTTGGTAGAAACCACAGGAGATCTGTTGTTCCTTTGGAGCATCAGAGGTGAAAGTGTCACCAAGGAAAGAGGTGGTTCTGTCTGGCAAGGATGGTTGCTTCTTGTCGAAGGAAAGAGTGGAATCAATGTGGAACAATGGCATTTTTTTTCAAGTTATGAGATCTGGATGTTTAGTCTGATGTCTGGATTCACTCCTACCAAGCTGTACATTTCTGAAGACAATTGAGCCTCTTTATATAATTGAATCCATCTCTTATCCAGCATTGGTTTATCTCAATAGATAAAACCTGTCCCTATACCAAACTCCTCTTCGCCCGCAACTTTTACCCCAATTAGGAAGGTGCGTCCCTCTCACCAAAATGAAAAATACCCACAGCTTATACCAACGGTTCTCTATGCCACTATCAGAAATCGCCTGCAATTAGGACCCATGTAGTGTTTGAGTGTTCCGGACGGATAAAATGAAGTGCCAATTGCAATTGTAGGCTACTACTAATTGGTACGGAAAACTTTATCATTTGATCTACATGGAGTAAAAATTCCCGTGGTAGCTTGACCATGCGAACGTGTACAGCCTACTTCACAGTGGGATTTCTTTTCAATGATACACATCAATCAGACCAATGGAGCAGGACCAACATGGACTAATCTCTCAAATAGCTTGTTATCTCTCTTCTCAAGGTGCACTTTGAACGGGAACGGTTCAATGGCGACTGCTTCTGGACATGAATTAGTCTTGAAGGGGTCCAGAGACATGAGATACTTTGAATCCTTTGGCAGCGTAATTCTGTAGAGTACTATAAACCTTAAGAGTGCAATGTACATCTCCTTGAAAGCCAAATGTGCTCCACCACATGCCCGTGTACCTGCACCAAATGAGAAATGAGGCAATTGATGCTTGTTCTCGTCATCATGTCCGTTGTGAGCTTGTAAATACCTCTCTGGTTTAAATTGAAATGCATCTTCGAATCTTGATGCGTCATGATTTGCAGCGTACGCGTTCATGAACATCACCGTGCCCAGAGGCAACAATACTCCTCTGTAGTTTATATCTCTTGTCGTTTCTCTTGGAAGACTTGTTGGAAGAACGGAGAAGTAACGAAGGCCTTCTTCTACTAGTGCACTTATGTATTCCACTCTGAAGCGACTAAGGTCAGAGCAGTTGATGAATGCATTCTCAAGAGTTCCATAAACTTTCAAGATGCTATCAATCAGCGTCTCTTGTAATTTGGCTCCATATGAGCCGAGTGATAGGTGACCCAAGATATGGGTCAATACCAATGGCGTATTGTCAAGTCCAGCACTAACCATTGTCAAACATACCGAAGTCAATTCAGCTTCTGTAACAGTAGGAAACTCGCTACAGCCTCGTAACAGTTTACTCACAATCGATTCGGAATAGTCCTCGCCAACTTCAATTTTGCGCTTGACATCATTGGTGAACTTGGCCATATATACGTCCCTTCTCTTGCGATACTGGTCAGCCAATCTTGTCTTATCGTTACCAAGTCCTAGCCATCTCAAATGCGGCAAATAATCTTGAACATTTGAGCTGTGCCCTCGTAACTTGACAATCATGTTCTCAACATGAGCGATTTCATCAAAGAGCTTACACTTATCATTGTGTTCTACTTTCACCAAATAACCGTATGTGAGGAAGAGGCTAATCCTCAAGACATAGCCTTGTATCAACTTGAAGAGCTCGATGTCTTCAGATCTTGTACTGCTCTTAATGCGCTCATGCTCCTCGTCAACTCGCCTGAACATGTTAAGACATTCATCCTTGATAAACTTCGAATGATGCTCCACTGCTCTTTTGTTCAAAGCTGTTGCAATTATCCTTTTCGTTCTCTTGTATGTATCGCCATAAGGTGTAGTCCCAATAGTGAACCCTTGCGTCTTACTTAACACGGAATGGAACGTGTACAACATTGGTCTCGAATTGGATGCATTGGAGTATTTTATCCAAAGGTCTCTAACGCTTTCAAATGAGTTGGCAACAACAACAACTCTTGAGCCCATTCTCATTTGGAATAGATCTCCGTGGATATCTGACCATCGTGTATACTTTAGAGCCGAGTTCAGCTTCACTTGGTAGAGAACACCAAATATAGGAATACCTCTAATGTATGGAACACCGGGTATTGGTGTGGGAGTCAAGGGTCCTATTCCAAAGTAGTCACAGACCAAGAAGACCAACAATAGTACAACCACTCCTAGCACAACTGACGCTATGTGTATACTTGTTAGAAAGGTTGTTCTACAG